AGGACGCCCACAAGCCTCACAAGACTCATCTGAAGTTAGCCCAGGACCAGTTCAAAAAAATGTAGTGCCTAAAAAAGGGGATAAATGTATAAAAAAAATATAAAAATATAAATAATTTCCTCATCTTTCTTATATCTCTCAGCTATAGGACAGACACTTCAAAACAAACTTCCTTTTGATAATTTTTTTGACTTTTTGTTTTTCCGTGTATTAATATTTTATTCAATGTGTTTCTATAGGCTAATAGCAGTAAGGCCAAATCCAAAGGCCAAATCCAATGTTTCATCAAATAATTTTTTTATATATTTTTTTGATACCTAAATGGGTCCTAAATTCAAAATCAAATAGCTAGATGATCCTTGGTATGACCATCTTAAAACAACTCCATATGTTAGCTTAGTAGGACCCTCCCTCCCGCCCCCAGCGTAGACTCTAGTTGGAGGACCAACTTTGGGCCTCCTGCCTCAGACAGAAAGTCACATTGAAGTCATTAAAATTGTAGAATTGCAGGCTTTGTGTGTGTGAGTGTGTGTGATGTGAGAGGACATGGCAGGCTATTAAAAGCATGCAGTTCCATATATTTGTCCCATATATTTGTCCCAGACTTGGATTTGGAGTTCTCATCTGAAATGTGTTTCTTCCCAAGGCTGTATGTTGTATGGAATTCTCCTCCATTACGTTGTCAAAAGTTTACTAAGTACACAGGCAGGCAAGGTCATGCAGTTTCCCCAGAGTGACCCTAAGGACAAGTAAACATCTACTAACACAACATCGCTACAAGGTGAACGGAACATTAATGTTATGTGATGTCTGTGGTTAATAGGATATTTTTAATAAACTCCTTTCGATAGATATTTACCATATGAGCAGACTATAAAGTCCTTTACCAGCCTAACCCTTTGAGTGTGTAGTGTATTGTATTTGATGCATGTTTAGCCTGGGCTGAGAGGGGAGCGTGGGAAGAGGAGGGCTGGCTCGCAAATGGTTCCCTATTCACTTTATAGTGCACTACTTTTGACCAGAGCCCTGATCAAAAGTAGTGCACTATAAAGTGAATAGGGTGTAATTTGGGACGCAGACGAGGAGGGAGATGGGAACCAAGGCAACTCTCAGTAGAGCAGTGTTATTCTAGGTCTAGGTTCATGGCCTCCACTAAGCGGAGAAGTAGCTGCTGATGTGTAGGCTAGCTTTCAAAAGGAACATTCTACTACTCCTTCTTTACTTTTGCTTGTTTACTTTTCACTCCCATCATTCCTATGTGACAGTAGTACTGTGTTGTACTGAGGAGATGTTGTCAGGGATGGATCAAAATGTACAGAATGGTTCAATTTCAGTCAAGGGAGGGTTTAGTATTTTTTTAATATAGTCCAGGGGAGGGTCATGTCATTTATAATTGATGAAATGTCAATATTTCTCAGTGTTTTAGAATTCATTTCTTATTAGGCTATATATCGATGTGTGCCCGATGCCACCCCTCATCTCTGATTCTCCGCTGGGTGCGCAATATCAAGTGCGACTATAGGCTATTTAGTGTGGTCTCAATGAAATGATCCAATGATGAAATTATCCATGAAACTTGAATCAGCATCGTGGCACAATCAATTGGAAATGGACAGCTCATGGTGCTGAAAGTAGGCACATTTGAATAGGCATAATACATTCAAACCATCTTCATTTTAATTTGACTTTACTACCAACAAGAGGGCTTTGTGTTGGAGCCTATTTAAGAAATAAGAGGTAGGCCTACCTGTTTGACAGAAGAAATTAGGCTATCGGCTGAAATATCCATACATTTGTCATTGAATTCCTCCACCCACTATACACTCTTTAAATAGCATACCTATGTGTCAGTGAAAGGCTGTTAAGTTAAAACTATCGAATTGAGGGGGTATGCCATAGGCCTACCTTTTATTAAAGAAAATGGCAAAAAGCACAGGCCTACCCCTTGTTAGCTTAGGATTTTGAAGAAAATATAACAGATCCGATTATATAATAAAAATGTATAATGTTTAGTTTTCTGCTCAATCTGATTGGGTGGGCCTGGCTCCCCAGTGGGTGGGCCTGTGTCCACCCAGGCCCACCCATGCCTACACCCCTGCTATAACAGCACTTTGGTCCACAATGCTTTATGCTAGAAACAAAACTGTAAAATACCCGAGAAAGACGTGGCTCCGATGCATATGGGAATGCCATTGTTTCGTCTCTTTGACATTCAGAGGCTGAGCTACAACTTTCTATATCCGAGGAGACAGAAAATACACTTGGAAAGGAATCTAATTCTGTCACTATCAATTGATTAAGCTATTCACTTTCTGTACAATAAAAGATGATTAAACCCAGACAGCCTTTAGGGAAACACTTGTGACCTTCTCTTGTTGGGTTAAGCTACGGAAGAAGAGTAGCCAGCATTTAAACATTTTCTGTGTCGATAGGCCTACTCTGACTGGGCAGGCCTACATTTAAATATGATAAGATGAACACATAGGCCTATCTCTCTGTCCATTCTTAGCCTGTAATTTCGGTAATTTGTGTGTAGATTCTGCTATAATGTAAAATGACATAGATTTGCATGAAATGTTTATAGAAGGACATTTTTTCTCGGACCTGCAAATAAGATAGATTTATGCAATGCTTTTACTATAAAGGACATCTTTCCACCCCTACTCTTGTATATGGTGGTCTGCGAACCCACAACCTTCTGGCCTACAGCCCTGTGCCCTATCAAAATGATTGTGTTACCATATAATGCTTACAGGCTCTGGTCTGTACTAGGAGTGAGGGAAAATGGTAGACATGTTCTCTGCTATCCACTTTGTTTTAATAATGATTTTGGTTATAGAGGAGGGTCACTTGCTTTTTTTCAAGCTTTCAGGGGGGGTTTATGTAAAATATATTTTGCTGACGGGAGGGCTATTCATTTTCATTTCAGAGAGGTCCGACTTTCTCTATGTAACCCTTATTATAAATAACGTTCACTCCCTTATTGCTCTTCCCAATATTGCTCATTACTGTATACTCATCTAAGATTGATCATGTTTAATGGTGGAAGATGAGCATAACTGAGGACCATCGTTGGGCACTGACAGACTGTTGGCAATAATTCTGTTGGCACTTCCAAAGAGGAATACAAATTCAAAGCCAAAAGTACATTTATGTAATGATGGTGTAGAAGGAGGCCCTACCCAGAATTCATTGCCTGTTTGTTAGAAGTCTTTAAAAAAAAGAAATGTTGAAATTGGTCAGATAGCCAAATAGTTTTTATAGGCTTGTAATGAAGATACTGCACGACTAGTCTGGTATTAATTACAGGTTTCTGTTCTGCTTATTGTTCCCTCTTTAAAGCGTTGTTCATACAAGCACATAAAAAACCCTGTGTTGAGCTCATTCAGCAAATCTATTTTTAAAGGGAAAAAGTTATTAGCAGCAGACTAACAAATACCTATTGGAGTATTTTAGCTAAGAAACAAATGTAAGAAACATATTTTCTTCTTAGATATCCCTTTATGTGCAGACCCTATGGTCTGGTGGTCTAGGCACATGTATGCAACCCTTAAGACTAGGATTCAATCCCTGTCTCCACCCTTCCTAATCTGTCTCCCCTGCTGTTTCTGATCTGAAATGCCCTAAAGATATATATTATTAGAAGTCCCTTTATGATTACCAAATTCACTGATGTTTGCTGGGATGACAAGCTGTCCAGCAATGAGAAATGTTGCATTGGAGTGCTGTTAGAATATTAATTTGTGATACTAGGCAACTAGGCTATTTGTTGCTTTCCATTTTCATTGCTAAACTACACCACTCTCAGATGAAGTTGAAATAGCAAAACTCCACAGCCAGAGAAGGGGAAAAGGGAACTTCTTATGTAATAAGGATTAACTAAAGGTATTAAGCCTTATCACCCTATTGCAGTCGCCAGAACACCAGGTGAAATGGGATTTCTGAGTTGAGAGTTCATTCCATAGGCTGAAATATTTGAGCATGAGCAGCCTGGAGGAATCAACCCTCCCGAAATCATCAAACAGACAGGAATATAAATTACAGATTTACTCCCACAGTCAAGAGGCAATGCCCTCACTATTTTATCACCAATGAGGCATCACCATTAAATGATTAATGACAGGCTCCTAAGGTCATTGACTGTTTTCGCACAGCATATACAATCAATGTGGATGGTTAAATAACTAGGTGTTTAGAAATTCTATTCTCTCTGAAAAATTCAATTCATTGCCATGACATCTGAGTAATGGAATGAGGATGGAAATGATGGAACCCATTTCCGGCTCCCTGATTGGATAAGCCATAATAAGGAAGTTACATTAGCTGGGATGGAAAGTGCAACTAAACAAGCTGTCAAAAAAGTTCTTTGAACAAGGATGATGTAAATCTATCTCGTGTTACTCAACATGTCCAAGCTGCTAACAGATGTGGTAGTGTACACAAACTGTCATCCATAGACATATCTCAGTCCAACTGTAGATTACTGTGAATAGATGTGGTCCATATTTTCAAACAATGGCAGTCTACCTAATGTGTTGTAATCAAGCTCACATGAGAATGAGAGAAGAGGACACTTACCGCTATTCTATCCATCCAGTCGCACAACTCTCAATGGAACGTTTCTCCTTTGCACAAACACACACACGCGTATGTGAGTATGTCAGGTCAGCGAGTGCTAGTTGAGGCTTGAACAAAGAAAAAAACAAGCCTGGTCACAAGTACAGTATCCCAACACCGGTCATCTGTGATGGAGCTCCTAGATTCCAAGTATCTCTCTCTCCCACAGTAGTACCCAAACCCCCCCCTCTCTCTCTCTCTCTCTCTCTCTCTCTCTCTCTCTCTCTCTCTCTCTCTCTCTCTCTCTCTCTCTCTCTCTCTCTCTCTCTCTCTCTCTCTCTCTCTCTCTCTCTCTCTCTCTCTCTCCCTCCCTACCTCCTTCCCTCCCTCCCTCCCTCCCTCCCCCTCCCTCCCTCTTCAGTTTGCTCCTCAATTCATGCACCTTGGCGAGGTAGCGGCAGAGTTCCCTTCCCTTTGCGCTGTAGGTCCAGGAGGATCCCAGTCATATCATCTAAGAATGGCAGGAGGCAGGAGTCGGCTGATCCACTAATGGCTGAAGAGACCCAGCTGCGTTGGAGCATGCCAGAGAGCAGAGCACACCTGCCTGCCTGTCTGTTGGTCTGTGTTGCTTCTGCTGTGGTCTTTGTGGAACGGCAATCCCCCTCTATTGTTCTGGGTAGAAAAAAGAGCACGAGGCTGACAGACAAGAGAGTCTAGTGGTGCTGTAGTAGGCAGGCAGAGGGAGTTCTGAGAGGAGGAGGAGGTCCAGGCACTGCCTTCAACAGTGTGTCAGTGGGCTGTGGTATCTGTGGAGCCCAGCCTCCAGTCCTTCTGCACTCTGCCCTCAGAGATAGATCCACATTCAGCCATTGCCCATTCCTCTGTCATCCACTCCTCCTTTAATCCACCCACTGCTGAGACCAACATTTACTTCTTTTCCAAGGCCTTTTTTTGTGAAGAGTAAGCAGTAGGCATACTGAAGTGTGTTCCCTCTCTCCTCAGGCTGTCAGGCGGTAGTGTGGCAGTATGTTCAGGGGGTGGAGGCTCATGTTGAATTTATGTGTGTGTGTGGAGTGGGCTGTGTTTATGGCCCTTCACAAAAGTGTTACTGTGGCAACAGGAACTGGACCGGCTTGCCATCACACACAGCCTCCTGTTTTCCCTTTAAAGCAATCTGTTACTCAAAGACCTTAAAACTCTCCATCTCCTGAGTGTGTGTGTGTGTCCATTCGCCTGTCTGTCAAACCGTCTGCATGTCTGTCTTTCTTTTGCATCTGGCCCAGGAATGCTGTGTCTCATCCTTTATAATAATATGCCATTTAGCAGACGCTTTTATCCAAAGCGACTTAAAGTCATGTGTGCATACATTTTTATGTATGGGTGGTCCCGGGGATCGAACCCACTACCCTGGTGTTACAAGCACCATGCTCTACCAATTGAGCTACAGAGGACCTTTAGAGCCAAGACTGTACACTACCAGTCAAAAGTGGAATGCTTTCCCAACAGTCTTGAAAGAGTTCCCACATATGCTGAGCACTTGTTGGCTGCTTTTCCTTCACTCTGCGGTCCGACTCATCCCAAACCATCTCAATTGGGTTGAGGTCGGGGGATTGTGGAGGCCAGGTCATCTGTTGCAGCACTCCATCACTCTCCTTCTTGGTAAAATAGCCCTTACACAGCCTGGAGGTGTGTTGGGTCATTGTCCTGTTGAAAAACAAATGATAGTCCCACTAAGCCCAAACCAGATGGGATGGTGAATCGCTGTAGAATGCTGTGGTAGCCATGCTGGTTAAGTGTGCATTGAATTCTAAATAAATCACAGACAGTGTCACCAGCAAAGTACCCCCATACCATAACACCTCCTCCTCCATGCTTTACAGTGGGAACCACACATGCAGAGATCATCCGTTCACCCACACGGGTCTCACAAAGACACAGCGGTTGGAACCAAAAATCTCAAATTTGGACTCCAGACCAAAGGACAAATTTCCACCGGTCTAATGTCCATTGCTCGTGTTTCTTGGCCCAAGCAGGTCTCTTCTTCTATTGGTGTCCTTTAGTAGTGATTTCTTTGCAGCAATTCGACCAGGAAGGTCTGATTCACACAGTCCCCTCTGAACAGATGATGTTGAGATGTGTCTGTTACTTGAACTCTGTGAAGCATTTATTTGGGCTGCAATTTCTGAGGCTGGTAACTCTAATGAACTTATCCTCTGCAGCAGAGGTAACTCTGGGTCTTCTATTCCTGTGGCGGTCTTCACGAGAGCTAGTTACATCATAGCGCTTGATGGTTTTTGCGACTGCACTTGAAGAAACTATCCGTTTTGACTGACCTTCATGTCTTAAAGTAATGATGGACTGTTGTTTCTCTTTGCTTATTTGAGCTGTTCTTACCATAATATGGACTTGGTCTTTTACCAAATATGGCTATCTTCTGTATACCCCCCTACCTTATCACAACACAACTGATTGGCTCAAACGCATTAAGAAGGAAAGAAATTTGACAAATTAACTTTTAAGAAGGCACACTTTTTAATTGAAATGCATTCCAGGTGACTACCTCATGAAGCTGGTTGAGAGAATGCCAAGAGTGTGCAAAGCTGTCTTCAAGGTAAAGGGTGGCTATTTGAAGAATCTCAAATATAAAATATATTTTGATTTGTTTAACACTTTTTTGGTTACTACATAATTCCATATGTGTTATTTCATAGTTTTGATGTTTTCACTATTATTCTACAATGTAGAAAATAGTAAAAATAAAGAAAAACCCTGGAATGAGTAGGTCCCGTGTAGCTCAGTTGGTAGAGCATGGAGTTTGCAATGCCAGGATTGTGGGTTCGATTCCCACGGGAGGCCAGTATGAAAATGTATGTACTCACTAACTGTAAGTCGCTCTGGATAAGAGTGTCTGCTAAATGACTAAAATGTGTGTCCAAACTTTTGACTGGTACTGTATCTACAGTGACCAAGGACATTCCCCCCTTAGAGAACTGCACCAACTGAGAGGAAAAAAAATCTCCTCCCCTTTTAATTTCTACTACTCCCTCCATTCCTCCATTTTATGTGACAAAGACTGGCTGACACCCTACACATACACATGATTAACATCGCCCATAGACCTGTGAACAAAAAGACCTGGAAAGAGGGCCAGCAATTATGACTCATTGTGTTGGTGCTGATAGACTGAATAAAAAAGCTCTCGCCCTGCGCTAGCTAGCTACAGTGTCTGTATTCACCAGAGCCTGAACTCCACTGTCTGAAGGACGAAGAATCTGTGTGAGTCACACACCAAACTGAGGCTTGGGCAAAGGATGCTGCAGCTACATTTATATGGTGTGGTTATTGTGACTAGCTCTGGTCCATATCCCTACAGTCTCTTTGGTGTGGCTGTGGTTGTTGTGACTAGCTCTGGTCCATATCCCTACGGTCTCTTTGGTGTGGCTGTGGTTGTTGTGACTAGCTCTGGTCCATAGCCCTACAGTCTCTGTGGTGTGGCTGTGGTTGTTGTGACTAGCTCTGGTCCAGGGCTCCAAAGTCTACATTTGGGCCCTACCTCCCTCTAGCTAATGGATGGAGCAGTAAGAAGAAAGAAAGTGTACGAATATTTTGCCTCTTTCTTTACGCTCTTCTTCTGTACCACTCAGAATTTCTAATGTATTCTCTCATTCAGTATATATTAGTGCCGTAGCAAACCGTAGCGAAACATTTTGCAAGAGAAAACGTTTTGCAACAAAAATGAGAGTTTGTTCTTGGTCAAGTTCAGGTAGGTGGTCCCCGTTTCAGTCAGTTTTCTTCCGTTTGGTGTCTAGTGGATAAGACCTTGATTAGCCAATAACCTAATTACAAAGCATCTATTATCTATCAATCAGGACAACTCCAGTGTAAGAGACAGTTTTTTAAATTAAATATTACATCATTTTACGTTACCTGTACAATGTCAAGTATATGAAAAGAATATACATTATTAGAGAAGAAATTACAGTTCAGCTAATTCTGAATAATGATAACAAACATTTCAACAATTTGTGACCTTGGGACTATAAGGTTATCTGACATTTTGGTTAAAAAAAAGTGTTATTCATATAGAGTTGCTCTTTAGGTGGTCCTTTACATCAGAAAGTTATATCTGCACAAACACCTTTTAACTTGGTGCTATATGGTTCTATCAGCAATCCAATCACACAATGCTGGGTTGTCAATAAAACATTATTGTATGTAAGGTGATATACTAGTATATATAGTAATGAAAGAGGAAGACATCACAAAACAGTTATGAGATCTGGGATTTAAAAATTCTCATAATCTCAAAACTATACATTTTGCAGATATAACTTTATTGTACCAAGTCCTTGATTATTCATAATCATAGGTTCTGGTCCTCTATTTCAATTAGTTAGATTTTTTTTCACCACTTTTCCAGAAGAATGGCCATAATGTAAGCTTTTTATGGTAAAAACAAATAAATACAGGTGCCTTAGAGCATGTCTAAGGCTCACAGGAGAGGCATTGCTGTTTTTGTCTTGTTCTATATCAATACGAAAACCATGGAAGGGGTATTTCACCAAAATTACAAACTTACCACATTTGATTGATTAATAGCAAGTAGTTTACTGACTTTAGGTGTCAGAGACCAGAAAAATACATCAGTTTACTCATTCAGAGCTAAGCTTTAGCAATGTTGCTAGTTATGCATAGGATATAACGTCCTTGTCATTTTAAGGAACTATGGCTTTAACAAATGTGTGATGAACATGAATTAACATATTTGATGATCTGATGAGAAAGAAAGAAGGGTATTCTCTTTATTTGATCATTAAATGTCTGTAATTTTCTATTGAAACTCAACTAATTTTAACATTCTGTGCAGACAGAACCTTATGGCTGAACACAGATTGACATTTCAGAGCCATACGGTTCTATCTGCGATTGCACCTCCTAAAAAAAACAGATTTACAAATGTCTTAGGATTCGGATACTCTGCACTTTAGGTACCTTTAGATGAGGACCTTAATGGGTTATGAAAGAATCATTCACTACAAAACAGTTCTGAGATGTGAAAATGTTGGTGCTCAGTTGATATCTCAGAACTGAGCTTTGTGCAGATAAAACCTTATAGTCCTAAGGTCTTGAATTCTTAAAGTGATACATCAAATCACTTGAAATATGAAAGAGCTTTAAAAGGGATTTTGCTTTAACTTAATAAGATAAATTAAATAGAAACGTGACACTTAATCTTAGTTTTTATGTGGAAATTAACACATGAACAAAATAATATCGAGAGAAAATATAAATAGTAACAAGGTTAAAAATAAAACTCAGAATATCATTATTTATTTTTTATCAAGCAATTCCAGTCTTGAACTAACAACTGCTTTTGTCAAAAAAGCCAAGAAAATAGAAAGCTACTCGTGATTGAGATACTGCATTATATTTACAAACAAGATTAAGTAGAAAAAAAGTGAAAGGAATGCTATTGAATGTAGCTAACTGTGTTTATAGCTTATAGAGTGCAGTAAAACAAGGGACAGACAGGAGAGTCCAACGGGCTCCCATTTACATATGCACTGTGACGGTGTGTAACTGTGGGACCTTAAGGCCTTCGCTCCACTAGGAGCTAAAAGGATTAAGTCCAAGTCAAGTAACTGTGATCAGAGCGCAGTTCTTCAGTCAAAGCCTACTCACCAGAGTCAGAGTAAGCACATTAAGGAGATTCAGCCTTTAGTCCATAGCACCTGGACCAGGCTCTAATGTAGTCAGTGTGATAAGAGCCTAGACGGGTGTTCATCAGTTCTCCGGGGTGAAGTTTCCCCTAGGTTACAGATCCAGGATCAACTTCCTGTCCCCCAATCTTAACCTTAACCATTAGTGGGGGAAATGCAAAACTGACCCAAGATCAGCTTCTAGGGGCAACTTCTAGGGGCCCTATAGTGTTGGAATGGCAGCCTTCTGAATTCCCATGACCGTATCGTAGAAGCAGTCCTCGTTGACCACAGAGGTCAGGCTCTGCACACTGAAGTCCCTCCCTAGTAGGGCGTTGAGGTCCACACACTGGGAGTCATTATCCTGCCTCCCTGGACACTGCCTCCCCTGGCCCCCCTGTAGACTGCCCACCCTCCTCTGGGCAGCAGGGTGGGGCTGGTGGGGCTGGGGAACCCCCTGTCTGAGGTGCTCCTGCTGGGTCCCAGTTCTCCTCGGCCCTGCCTCCTCTGTGAAGTTGAGTCTCTGGAGCTGGGCTTCCAGGGTGCTGGTCAGGGAGCACAGCCAGGCCCTCTTGCCCAGTGTGGTGCCTTCCAGGCTAGGGAGGCCCGTGGAGGAGCGGCTGGGGAGCTGGGGCTCCGAGTGGGTGTCTCCTGGACCGGGGTAGGGGCCGCCGCTGGACACACTGCTGTCATCTGAGTGGTGCTGGTGGCCTGCAGTCCTCCTGGCCTCTGATTGGCGCTGTTGTCTTCTCCTCCAGGAGCTGTCTCTGACAGGTGCAGGCTGGGTCCTGCGGAGGGAGCCTAGGTGCTCTCTAGAACCCCTCTCTGATAGGAGAGGCCTCCGGGTACAGTCTCGAAGGGAACGAAGAGCTTTCACTACACTGGCCTTATTCTCCAAACCACTGAAAAATACCCATATATGAGATCAAGTCAATTAGGCCATGCCCTGTTAATTAAAATATACAGTATATATTTTGTTTTCATGATCTTTAAAACATCCATTATCTCTATCATTTTCATGTAATCTCTCACCTGCTGCAGAGCTGGAATACGGTCTCTGGTCTCCCCTCCACCTGAGACTTGGTATGGACCAGCTCCCAGACACAAGGGTTCTCTGTTCCTGCTGTGTTCCCCAGACGGACCTGCACCGCCGACACTGGGATGAGCCAGCGGAACTTGAAGGGGTCCTGGTCGGAGCGTGACGTGGTCTGTAGCATACAAAGAAACCAAAATGTTCACACGCATTAGAACTTGTGTGATATCCAGTGTTCAACATAAAGTTATCGGGAGAGGTGTGTTTGAGCAGAGTGAAACTCACCGTCCTCTTCTTCATCTTGCTGCTCTCACGGTACACCAGAATCACTGCTCTCTTGAAAACTGAGGACAGAGGCAGGAGCAACTCGATTTTAGTCCGATACTTCTTGATTGTTGTAATAAGGATGAAAATGTTGACATCATCCTGTCAAGTAATTCTGATTCAACTCGTCATTGTAAAAAGCCCCACTCACCGAACAGCGTCAGTTCAGGGTCTTTCCTCATGCGTCCCAGAGAGGGGAGAGGGTTGAGCCACTTTAAAGAGGAGTGGATGAGGAACTCCCCCATGGAGATCTCTGTTACCTGGAGAGGGGAGAGGGGAGAGGAGGGCACTTAGTCTGGGAGGCTGTTGGTGGAGGAGCTTCCTCTAATGAACTCGCTCTACAATGAGTACATTCATATAATTCATACAATTACTTGAATTAATAGAATCCAATATTCATATAATCAATAATATCAGTATTATAGTTTCATTTGTCAGTTATGTGTGGTGGTGATTACTGTACTGTACCTCTTTCTCAGGGTCACTCTGCTCTGCCACCAGCTGGTCAAACACAGAGCCGTAGTCCTCATAGATCTTCTGCATCTCATTGATGTGGCTGGCCACCTTCTCCATGGCTCTCAGGGCCTCTGAAGGACGGAGACGGATAGACACACAGAGAGGTACACGTCAATAGAGCTCACCCCTAACACATCAGACAAACCTGGAAAGACTGCTGTCTGTGGGTCTTATGGTTTCTGTGTGTGTGTGTGTGTATGTGCATGTCCCTGTGTGTGTCTATGCGTGCTCACACATAAGCCCCCATATGTAGTCCTACCTGTGAGGTGGCTGTGCTCCTCGCTTTCGGAGTCAGTGAGGGAGACCAGCTCTCGGAGCAGCAGGGGATACTTGAGCACCCTCTGGACTGGCTTAATGAGGTATGACTCCAGGGTGGACGAGTGCTGCTTGGTGGGGTTCCTCGCTCCCAGGAACTCCTTGAAAGCCCGGTCCGTCTTTGCTGTAAACAGGAAATGAGGACTTAAAGCAGGCTTTGATGCAGGCATTGCTTTTCTGCCTTTGCACTGGCTTTTCAGATGGCATTTAATGATTAACTGAGCAGGGATATTCAGCTCTACTGTACATGAGGTAGGAATCACCATTACCTCGTTCCAGAACCTTCTGGACTTTGATGTGGTTGGCACAGAAGCCGCTGTAGAGCTTGAAGTGGTCAGCATAGTAGAGGAAGGAGCCGCCCAGTGAGAAGAGAAGTTTCTGGATGCAGAGAGAGAAAGAGAGAATGCAGAGTCAAATAGGCCTACCGCTGACTATCACTGCAGTCAGTAGGTTAAGTAACATCCTGTTGATAAAGCTTGAAGCTTTACCACTAGACCTCGAGTCTGCGTCCCAAATTAAACCCTATTCCCTATATAGGACACTACTTTTTGACCACAGCCCCTGAGTATACAAAACATTAAGAACACCTGCTCGTTCCATGACATAGACTGACCAGGTGAATCCAGGTGAAAGCTATGATACCTTATTGATGTACACTTCAATAAGTGTAGATGAAAGGGAGGAGACTGGTTAAGGAAGGATTTTCAAGCTTTGAGACAATTGAGACATGGATTGTGTATGTGTGCCATTCAGAGGGTGACAGGGCAAGACAAAAGATTAAAGTGCCTTTGAACGAGGTATGGTAGTAGGCACATCGGTTTGTGTCAAGAACTGCAACGCTGCTGTTTTTTTCACGCTCAACAGTTTCCCGTGTGTATCAAGAATGGTCCACCATCCAAACTGCGGGAAGCATTGGAGTCAACATGGGCCAGCATCCGTGTGGAACGCTTTCGACACCTTGTAGAGTCAATGCCCCGATGAATTGAGGCTGTTCCGAGGGCAACAAACGGGGTGCAACTCAATACTAGGAAGGTGTTCTTAATGTTTAAACACTCAGTGATATGGAATAAGGTGCCATTTGCCACGCAACCCCAAACTACTGGGGACTCTACCTTGAACTGTTCCGGGGTCTCCAGAGAGCTGAAGTTGGGGGAGGAGGCGATGCGCTCCTCCAGTGTGTGTAGGAATACTCTCTGGAAGTCCAGCATCTCAGGCAGACTGCCAAACAGAGACTCCATCTAGTGGAGGGAGGAGAGAACAACAGTTAGAAACGACCCAAAGGACAGAAGATTCTTTATTTTTAGAAACCCTGTATTGGCACCTTTTTATCTACTGTACATACAGTGGGGGAAAAAAGTATTTAGACAGCCACCAATTGTGCAAGTTCTCCCACTTAAAAAGATGAGAGAGGCCTGTAATTTTCATCATAGGTACACGTCAACTATGACAGACAAAATGAGGAAAAAAAATCCAGAAAATCACATTGTAGGATTTTTAATGAATATATTTGCAAATTATGGTGGAAAATAAGTATTTGGTCAATAACAAAAGTTTCTCAATACTTTGTTATATACCCTTTGTTGGCAATGACACAGGTCAAACGTTTTCTGTAAGTCTTCACAAGGTTTTCACACACTGTTGCTGGTATTTTGGCCCATACCTCCATGCAGATCTCCTCTAGAGCAGTGATGTTTTGGGGCTGTCGCTGGGCAACACGGACTTTCAACTCCCTCCAAAGATTTTCTATGGGGTTGAGATCTGGAGACTGGCTAGACCACACCAGGACCTTGAAATGCTTCTTACGAAGCCACTCCTTCGTTGCCCGGGCGGTGTGTTTGGGATCATTGTCATGCTGAAAGACCCAGCCACGTTTCATCTTCAATGCCCTTGCTGATGGAAGGAGGTTTTCACTCAAAATCTCACGATACATGGCCCCATTCATTCTTTCCTTTACACGGATCAGTCGTCCTGGTCCCTTTGCAGAAAAACAGCCCCAAAGCATGATGTTTCCACCCCCATGCTTCACAGTAGGTATGGTGTTATTTGGATGCAACTCAGCATTCTTTGTCCTCCAAACACGACGAGTTGAGTTTTTACCAAAAAGTTATATTTTGGTTTCATCTGACCATATGACATTCTCCCAATCCTCTTCTGGATCATCCAAATGCACTCTAGCAAACTTCAGACGGGCCTGGACATGTACTGGCTTAAGCAGGGGGACACGTCTGGCACTGCAGGATTTGAGTCCCTGGCGGCGTAGTGTGTTACTGATGGTAGGCTTTGTTACTTTGGTCCCAGCTCTCTGCAGGTCATTCACTAGGTCCCCCCGTGTGGTTCTGGGATTTTTGCGATCATTTTGTGATCATTTTGACCCCACGGGGTGAGATCTTGCGATCGAGGGAGATCATGTGGTCTTGTATGTCTTCCATTTCCTAATAATTGCTCCCACAGTTGATTTCTTCAAACCAAGCTGCTTACCTATTGCAGATTCAGTCTTCCCAGCCTGGTGCAGGTCTACAATTTTGTTTCTGGTGTCCTTTGACAGCTCTTTGGTCTTGGCCATAGTGGAGTTTGGAGTGTGACTGTTTGAGGTTGTGGACAGGTGTCTTTTATACTGATAACAAGTTCAAACAGGTGCCATTAATACAGGTAACGAGTGGAGGACAGAGGAGCCTCTTAAAGAAGAAGTTACAGGTCTGTGAGAGCCAGAAATCTTGCTTGTTTGTAGGTGACCAAATACTTATTTTCCACCATAATTTGCAAATAAATTTATTAAAAATCCTACAATGTGATTTTCTGGATTTATTTTTCTCAATTGGTCTGTCATAGTTGACGTGTACCTATGATGAAAATTACAGGCCTCTCTCATCTTTTTAAGTGGGAGAACTTGCACAATTGGTGGCTGACTAAATACTTTTTCCCCCCACTGTAGCTAATTCAAATGCCCAAAAAGTACAGGATAGAAGACGGGAAGAGGTTTACAGCTAATGTAACAGAGGTGGTTGGGAACCACGCTCATGTGGTGGTTAGCATTGTCTGAGATCTGAACACTTGCGTTTTATTCCCTGAGACCCAGGTTCCAACCCTGGTCGGTCACACTAACAAGCCATAATGAAATGTTATTGTATTTCACATGTGTTTAGACATGTAAAATACATTTACACATTTTACATGTATGTTTTTCCATTGCACGCCCTTCGTGCTGTACCTCGTCGTGGCTGAGGAAGGTCTCACTCTGTAGAGGGGTCAGGTAAATGTCAAAAAGACAACCCAGGTCCTAAGGGACAGACAGGGGAAACTTAATTAGACTGTGACATCATCACTATCCGACTATAACATCATCACTATCAGACTGTGACATCATCACTATCAGACTGTGACATCATCACTATCCGACTGAGAAATCATAATTCTCCTCAGCCTGACACATGGGCGTTAGAGTAGCAGATGGTAAATATGCATTACACTAAATGCTACTAGAGATCATTAATAAACAGGCACTTAGAGACCATTAATTACCATTAATAAAGAGAGACCATCAATTATAAATCCCCAGAAAGGACGTTCCAGCACTCTCTTAGATAAGGCAGCAGAATGTGAGTGACCAGGACCCGTATTCATAAAGTGTCTCAGAGCACGATTGCTGATATAAGATCAGATCCCCTCTGCCCAGTCATTACAATTTAAAATGCTAAAACTGATCCAAGATCGGCACTCCTACTCTGAGACGCTTTGATGATGATCAAGATGATAATGTATTTTTAATGATTTAACAAATAATTGTATAAATGACAGCAACATGTTGAATTACAAGTACAATTTACAAAGAAATGATTAAATATGAAGTATTTGAAATATTACAAAACAACCATAAATATGGCCAGGTATGTACCTTGACGTAGGACTTCTCTGTGTCCACCAGTTCCTGTATGACCTTACAGAGCCTCTCAGAGATAGACATGTGTCTGGGGCAGGGGGGCTTCTGGATCTGGGGCCCGAGGGGCTCCATGGAGTACGGGTTCCTCTGGCCCTCTACCACCACCGCCCCACGGCCCTCTGGGAAGGTCTGGTACAGCGAGCACACCGTCTCCACATTCTGAAGGAAACAGAAGAGAGATGAGTTAGGATATATTCTAATTTCAGCTCTGAATATCAAATGACTGCCCTTTACTCAGGGGAGTGAAGATTACAATTCAGCTCGGAATCTACTGTGACAAGCACCTAATCTTAAAGGGGAATATCACAATATTTTTTGCATCCTATCAAACATTTTGCATCATCGTGATGTGGATGGAGACACATTTCTTCTTAAAAGTACAATATCTTGACAACTTGACTGCTGACATGCAAAACATTTTGGGACTGTATCAACAGTGGAATAATGAAATAAATACCAAAATATAGTTTTTGAATGACATTCCCCTTTAATAATCAGTCAGTTTAAATCATCAACCCCTTGTGTAGTTTAAGAGGGTGTCAAACCACTCCCTCTGTATTTTTGGAGAGGCAGAGAGTGCAGAGGGTCAGGGCCTGTATCCCAAATGGCACCCTTTATAGTGCACTACTTTTGACCAGCACACTATAAATGGAATAGAGTGCCATTTGAGATGCATCCCAGGTTTAAGCCATAGGGCTCTGGTCTATTGGGAATAGGGTGTCATTTGGGTGCACACGTCATCTAGAAGTTTTAGATATTTGTGTTATTACAATAATGATTCAACCTCAATTAATCAATTAGATTAAATTAGAAAATACTTATTTTGTCGACAGTTTTTCATAAGACATGAGAGAGAGCGTCTAGCAGCGAGGTATCAAACAAATAATCTGGTGTCAAATTTATGAACAAGCATTTCACATCACAGACTTCCCATCCATCCATATGACACCACACTTTCACGCTCTCAAAGAAAGGTAGAATAATCAGTGGTGAACACACACACGGCCCAAGGCGACCCTCAGTAGCAGATAAAACAGAAAGGATCCCCAGCCATGGCTTTGTTCATTTGTCATCATAATGTCTCCTGTCAGGCAATAATAAAGTGCTGACAAACTGATAAATCCCCTGGTTAGGATTATTGTGCTGTGCTGCAATCCAGCTTTAAAATACCCTTTGAACTAGAAGCAAGGGTGGACAGAGAAGGTGAAAAATATTCTAAGCATTAATATTTATGGGCTTATTACTTCCCGTAACATTTGCTCTCTGTGTGTCTCACATGAGCGTGTAGCCTATGTATCTTATAACTACAGTAAGACCTCAACAGTAAAAACAGTGCATTAAAAAAACGATTGTTTCTAGGCAACAACATCAAATCAAAACAATGCAACACTAGTTACAGCACCAATGCATCACCAGCTCAAACACAGAGAGAGTACAGGACAATACAGTAACTACGATACAGAGAGACACCACAGTACAGTAGCTACAGTACTACCAGCAGAGCGATCCCGTCGGCTGCCTGCTCGCAGGCTACGCAGGAGGCCACCTCGTCCAGCAGCCCGGCCAACCTGTCCTTCAGGGACTGCCTGAGAGACGGCAGGGTGAAAGTCCCAGGGATGAAATCTCCCACCCCCACTTCCACCTCCCCCACCTCGCCCTCATCCTCCTGGGGCAGCACCCAGCACATAGCCCTGGTCGACTGGGCCGCCCGGGGCTGCTTTCCTGGGGTGAACCTCTGGCTGTTGTTGGTGGAGCTGGATAGAAACAACATGCTACATGCCCGGCTGGGCGTTCTGACATCCGCTGGTAGCCATTCATTCCTGGAGTTTTCCGTACTCTCTATCTCTCTTTATTTCTGTCACTCTCTCTCTGTCACACACACTTAGGGAGTAAGCCTGCAGTTTGTCGTACTACACCTCTCTCTCTCTCTCTCTGTGTGTCTCTCTCTCTCTCTCTGTGTCTCTCTCTCTTTCTCTGTGTCTCTCTCTCTCTCTGTGTCTCTCTCTCTCTCTCAATATATTTCTCTGTCACACACACTTAGGGAGTAAGCCTGCAGTTTGTCGTACTACACCTCTCTCTCTCTCTCTCTGTGTGTCTCTCTCTCTCTCTCTGTCTCTCTCTCTTTCTCTGTGTCTCTCTCTCTCTCTGTGTCTCTCTCTCTCTCAATATATTTCTCTGTCACACACACTTAGGGAGTAAGCCTGCAGTTTGTCGTACTACACCTCTCTCTCTCTCTCTCTCTCTCTCTCTGTGTCTCTCTCTCTGTCTCTCTCTCTCTCTCTCTCTCTCTCTCAATATATTTATCTGTCACACACACTTAGGTAGTAAGCATGGATTGGATTAGCAGTCTACTCAGGGTCATGTGTGCTGACAGGGCTTGGAGTGTCTGTGGGCTTTAGGAGCCTTGGAGGAGGCAGGGAGGGAGGCGTTAGCTGGCTGGGAAAGACAGTTGGCCCGAGGGGATTTCAAGTTAAAGCAGAGGAAGGGAATTATGGACTTCGAGTAATGGAGGATATTGTATTTGCAGCAACTGCCTTCAAATCTAAAGGACATGACAGACCAATTCAAATGTCAGTAATGTGCAGCGGGCGGCCATTCTATCGCCTCTGACCACACAACATCGGCCGCCATTTTCTGTCCATTTCGCAATGATTCTACGGGTTGAATCGCCACCATTCGTCGACACCCTAAGGCAGTGTCATTTGATGTGAGTGAATTCCTGAAGTGAGGGACTCTTCTCTCTCAGGCCATTGTTCTAAGCCAATAGTTATTGATACCAGTTGATACAGTGTGATGGTGTTGTTGTCACCTGGTGAGGCCATGGCAGGGCAGGCGTGTATGACCTGGGCTTGAACCTGAGCCAGTACTCTCCTGGCACCTCATCTCATTTTAGCAGATGTCCTGATCACCACAGAGTAACCCCTGATCACCAACACACGGCATGTGATCAAACACACCACTCACTGCTCTTAAAACTCCACTGACACACACACATTGATAGATATTACTGCACTGTTGGAGCTAGAAACATAAGCATTTCGCTGCACCCTGCGATAACATATACAAATCTCTGTACGCAACCAATAAACTTGGATTTTCACACACACACACACACACACGCACGCACACGCACACGCACACACTCCGGCAGGTAGCTTAGTGGTAAGAGCGTTGTGCCAGTAACCGAAAGGTCGCTGGTTCTAATCCCCGAGCAGACTAGGTGAAAAATCTGTCGATGTGCCCTTGAGCAAGGCACTTAACCCTAATTGCTCCTGTAAGTCGCTCTGGATAAGAGCGTCTGCTAAATGACCAATTTATTTTTATTTAATTTACTCCAGGCTCTATTTTTACAAACCTAACGCAATGGTAAATCTCTGGCGGTAGCATTATAGGTTGGGGGTGTGTCAGAAATATTTTTTGCTATCTTCACAGCGGGAATTATGAGCACAATAGCTGGCGGTGGCGTGAAAGTGCTGGGTTTAGATTAATTAATAAATTGGAGGTGTGACGAGGGCTTGGCCATTCACTGGCCAATCAACGCTTTTCATGGCTTAATACTGCATGCCGTTGTCTCAAGTTCTGTAGGTTATTGACAGTCTTTACGTTGTCATGAACTCCAATTCGGCTCGGGGTACGGAATATTCTCATCATAGTCCATTGTGGATTGCTACTACAGTTTATTAAATAGCATAGGCTGCAGTAACTAGTAGCCTAATAACAACAGTAACAAAATATATCAGTGTTTGCTCAATATGTTAGGAGAGTTGAAATTGGCTTCAACAAGTATAGGCCTACATCGCACTTCTCCTCAAATAAAAAAATACTAGGCTCCCGTAAATTGTATTGCATGTGTGAGGCACATTCTCAATAAGCAAGAAATAGCCTAGGCCTGCTGTTGATATGGTGTTATAGGACTGAATAATTTGAATATGTTTGATGGAGTGCGTCTTTGGTAACCAGACAAGAGGTGCTCTTTGGAAATGGGGATGGATACAAGCCGAATGGAGTATACACTGCAGGTAGGCCTATGTGAATTGTGAATAATGCAAAAGCATGATTGCAAAAGCCTCAGGAGTAGACCATTTAGAAACCTTTTATGGATAGTTAGCTACTTGGCTAATGCATGGCCAGGATAAGAAATACAACCGACGCATTGCTGTTGAACCAGCTTCTGTTATTGTAGGGTAAGGGTAGCCTATAACTGAAATGTTTCTAAATAGGGTCACCGGCATCAGCTCATCTCTCTTTCCATGATAGGCATATGGACATGTAGCCTACAAAAATAATATCTCTCTTGTTCCATACGCATATACAGATGTAGGACCTCAATTTGATCACTCATTTGTTGTTGAGAATTGTCCTGCACAGCAGGAAATGCAAACTTGTAGTGTATTCGAGGTTTAAAAAGGCTTCTAAAGTTTGTAATTTCCACTTTAAAATGTCAGACATGATTTGCCCTGACGAACAATGTATCAACCCCTACAAAAAATGTCCATTAATTATCATTCACATTTCCTGTTTCTGCAGGATTCTTTTGCTGCTGTAGCCAATTTAGATCCTACATCTGAAGGCACTGTACATCACGGATGAATAGGCTGCGCTTCTGCTGTCAAAATCCATGCCATAACCAACCCGCGTTACCGCTAAGAACAGCTTTTGGTTAGCACTTTGAAATTGGCACTTTGGCGCACGTTTTTAAGGACACACCTCAGATATTGACACCCCTTCCACCCTGTTCATATAAGACAGGTTTACCAATCCTGGCGCAAGTGTTTGAAAATGGCAGAGCGCCGGTTCGAAATTGCCAACATACATTTGAAAATTGCGCTGGCTTAATGCCAGTTGAAAATAGAGCCCTCCATCTCACCTGGCCGAGCTGCTCCATCTCATCAGCGGGTCGTGATTGTTGTGACACCTCATCAAAGGGAGCCGCTACAGAGCTCTCTGGAAGCTCCTGGGGTAGTGGCATATCTGAGAGAGAAGCAGACAGGTCAGTATGATTAAAGAGATGGACCAAAGGAAACACACTCACACACAGTAACCCCCCCCCCCCCCACACACACACACACACACACATCTACAGGTGCTGCGAGAGAATTCCTGGTTAGAGCACTGGAGGCAGTTTTACAGGTTAAGTGCACCTGACTGGTGTCAACCAGCATTGATCTGGCTTCACTACAAGCCCAGCAGGTAGGAGCAATTCATTTGGCCTCACTCCCCCTCTCCCCGGGGTCTTGCACAGCTTACTTGGCATCACACCAACAGGAATAACAGTATCATGCTTTTTAAAGTAAAAACACACACGCACACACATCCTTACACTACACACAATGAATCAATATTGCGTAATGTAATCAAGACAATTATGATTGTACTGCCATGGTTTTATAAATAGCATGTGGCCATTCCAACAATGACCGTGCTGTGCTGCCCAGTGAAATTTGCCAGCTCTCTTCACATTGTCTTAATTGAATCAGCATGAGGCATTTTAATGTCTCCATCCAGGCCTTATCACCCTGGGGCATTGGCAGGGTAGCATGGCATTCCCCTCAACATGATGTTGTGGTAGACTCACTGGTTCTGTACTACAAGATACAAAGGCTGGAGAACACTTTGGCCTGAGGCCCTCTAGTGGTGAGAAATAAAACGTATACGCGGTGAGAAAACACAATGCCCTCCAGACAGTAAACCAAATGTAATGCGAAGTTTGGAACAGGTAAAAAAATATCTAGTAACTCAATAATACCCGCAATTTCCAAAACACAACATATTTTTGGGTCTAAAGAATTGTATCTGTGGGAAGGCTGCGTCCCAAATGGTATCATGTTCTCTACATAGTGCACTACAATTGACCAGAGGTCTATGGGCCCTAGTCAAAAGTAGTGCACTATAAAGGGAATAGTGTGCCATTTGGGACGTAGCCCGTATCAAGAAGTGGTGTAAATACAAAGTTGTAGTCTCTACCTGTAGGCCAGACACAGTGGCTGGGTGGCGGTGGTGCTGGCTGCCAGGGCTCACAGTCGGGCCAGACAGAGGTGTGGTCGTCAGGGATTTGCTCCTCTCGTCTAAGCAGTATGTGGAGGATCTGGTGGCTGAACAACAGGTGCATCAGCCCCAGGTCCAGATTGGACACACTGGTCCCATTCAGAACCAGGATCTCATCCCCCGCTCTCAGACCTGAGGGAAGGACACATCAATCAATCAGACAGTTATCTCCTCAAAGTGTTGACCACTATGGCCTCTTTCTAAATGAGAATGGAATTCCATGTCCTTTTGAACATTTTTATAGATAGACATGTATGGGATGGGGAGATAGATGGGATGGATAGAAAGTGAGAGGCGGAACAGGGGATTGAACCGCTGCCTCCAGGGGGAAATGTGTGGTCCGGGTATGGCAGCACTACCACTACCCCAGCCCCGGCACACCACTATGTACTCTTAAGTAAAATACATCAATACTGTATTGTTCTATCTCTGATACAAAGTCAGTATATTTGTCAAATGTATTATAAAGATGAATTGACGTACCCTTAGTGAAAGCCAGTCCCTCTGGGTTGACCTCACTCACATAGACATGGCTCTTCCTGGCTCCGTCTACATGGCCTGTCACAGCAAAGCCTACAAGCGAGAGAGATCAGAGGTTAAAACAGAGTAATACATGAAATTATACTGTAATAACACAACCCAAGTGTAAATGTGCTCTTTCCCGCAAACACACACAGATACACAAACAAACACGTACCTGCAAACACACACACAGACACAGACACACAATCTCCTTTTCACAGGATCCCTACTCACCAAAGTCCACTGCTGTGTCAGGGCGGGACAGTTGTATGGTGAAAACATTGAGTGGGAAGACCTCAAGCTCTTCATACACCTGTTCAGAAAAAGCACATAGAAGAGTGAAAAAATACTCATCACATACCTCAATGTGCGTACTAAAGAGGCCAGATATCACTGAAACTATATTCAAATAAATGTGTGGATTATGGTTGAATCTTGAAATGTAGCAAGTTGACACAGTATTGACTCAGAGATAACACAATGAGTGACTGAATAAATTGATGAATGCTTGTATCAGTGATTGGATCCTGTGTTTTCCCATAGAGACTGTACGGCCGGGGCCTCACCAGGTCTCGTAGTGGGTCTGTGCGCGCTGGGGAGATGGTCTCTGTGTCCTGACCCACCAGCCTCATCAAACGCAGGCAGTGCTGGCTCGGGTCCAGGTGCCTCTCCTAGAACAAGACCCAAGAGGATGAGTCAGGGTCTCATTGGCTCCCTATTCTCTATCTAGTGCACTACTTTTGACCAGGTCACACTGAGGTAAAGTCCTGAATGCCACCTTATTCCCTACTTAGTGCACTACTTTTGATCAAAGCCTGACTAGGGCCCATAAGCCTCTAGTCAAAAGTAGTGCACTAAATAGGGAATAGGGTGCCATTTGGGACGTAGCCTCAGTGTGTCATATCTTCAGTGTCTTCAGCAATGGTAGCTAGCTACACTCCGACAGAACCACTAACACTCATCCTGTTCCCTATCAGCTAAAAGGATGCCGTGAGTGAACTTTCTACGGAGAGAAAGCATGAATTATTGAGGTATCGAGAGCAAAATTAACTAGTATCTGTTCCGTACCACCCCTACAGCAATCCCCTCCTATCATTTCCTCTTTGCCTTTAACAACCATATCAGTCACTGGAGAATTCACGGCAAAATGCTGACATGGGAGTTATGAGTTAGGAGAGTGTTGAAATGTATTAATAATGAGGCGATAGATGCAGTCTGCTTACCTTACAGGCCAAAGATAGCACGTCCGATACGAGAAAATCGGGTTTGATGTGCAGAGTAATGCTTTGGCTGTCAGGCATATTCACACAGACGGGAGTCTCCAAACTGCTGTACCAAGGGTTGCCTTCAGGTGGTGCTATCAACTGCATTTTGGCAAGAGCGTCCAATCTCTGTTTGACAAAGAGACAAAGATGGAGAATAATTATGTTTATTTAGGTTTCTTAACTGATAATACATTCTTATATTAAACAGGTTACTAAATAATTCTGTCAGGAATTTAACATCTCTCTTGGCAATGTGGTGAAAAGTTGTGTATTCTGTGACTTCTGCCCCATGATGCAAATGTTTATACACTATGACAAAAAACTACAACTTTCATTACATCTGTTCAAAATCAATCAGTCAAAGATGTTTAATTAAAACCCCACGAAAACCCCAATCTCAGCTGACGTACGGGTGTATTGAACTAAAGCCAAAAGACAGTGAAAGTACACAGCAACAGGTCTGTGAAAGGGGAGGTCGGGGGTGTCTCCCATTCACTGATAGGTGTCCCCATTCACTGGCTGTACAGAGGGATTAACACTGGGTGACAATGGAATTCTGGGAGAATAAAGACCCTCGGTCGGCCTAACCCTCCCCACCCCCCGGACCCTCGAACTCGGCCGCCTCACGCCTGCCTGTTTGCATGGAGCAGTGTCAACAGATCAGCATGCTGTTGAGACAGCTGTGCAAGCCCCGACCCTGTGTGAATAGAAAGACCCCCCACCTCCATCCCTCCATCCCTCCATCCTCATTCTCCCATATAAGAGGATTAGTCTGAGGCTGAGATTGATCGACTACAATACTCCTCGAATACGTCCCAAATGGCACCCTATTCCCTATATAGTGCTCTGGTCACTATGGGCCCTGGTGAAAAGTAGTACACGTTATAGGGAATAGGGTGCCATTTTGGACGCAACCCCTCCCTAGCACCTGGTTCTAGTGCAAATTTAGGGGCAGTTTTAGGCGACTTACATCAAGTTTGACAAGGCCTGACAAACAGGGTTGGGTAGGTTACTTTCTAAATATAATCTGTTACAGTTACCTGTCCAAAATTGTAATCAGTAAGGTACTTTTTTGATTAACCAAACTCAGTAACGTAATCTGATTACTTTCAGTTACTTTTTGATTACTTTCCCCTTAAGAGGCATTAGAAGAAGACAAAAAGTATCCATCAAACACATTTGTTCTGTCATCATACTGGTCTCTGACTTGTGGTCAGACTCGCTCAGGTGGAACAAACTTAAACATGCGCCTTTTTTCAATGCTGAATTGAATGTCATTGAGAAAACAGAAAGGTGTCATAATGTATTTTCTTCTCGCGCGATCATCCTTTATGAATTTTAAAGTAATCAAAGAAGTAATCATCTAGTTTTTCAAAAGTATCTGTAATCTGATTACAATCTGTTCACTGGTAACATAATTGATTACAGGTCGTTTTTTTGGTAATCAGATTACATGTAATCAGTTACTCCCCAACCCTGCTGACAAATGTATCCATGACAACCTAAAGTTATTGAATAGAATATTGTAATGCGGTTAGCTAGTGAAATATGATAAATATACATATTTCCACTGGTTGCAGGAAATGATGAGGTAACATGTTGGGAAATGTTTTCAGGACAAAGTGCTTACTGTACCTCGAAGCTGCAGTGGTTGGGGATATGGCCAGCAAGCACTCCAATACTTTGTCCTTCCAAAACCTGCAACATGGAAAAAAGAACACGCACATTAAGCCTACTCAGTGACTCAGGAGAAAAATGCACACTAAAAAGAACTAACTCGGTCTATATTTACAATGTAATACATATAATTAAAAACGATCTAAAACCAAAGGCTTTGATACTATTCTGATCCAGATTGAGGCCTAAATAAGACTTGGAGGATCCATGGGAAGAAATAAAGGGTTTGGTGATGCTGAAATTACAGGTCTGACAGTCAGGCAGATGGAACGTCCCTCATCAGGCTGGTGGGGATGGAGACTGTCTCCCCTCCACCCAGATACCAGTCTGCCCTCAGCAGAGATAACGCTACCAATACCACCGCCCTCAGCCCACTACCAGTGGCAGGCAGTACCACCACAGAGACAAGGGGCCATGCCTATGTCAACGGCTTGCTGGAACTAAACAACAACCTCAGTACAAGGGACTCAAAAAGCACACAAAATGCTTGAGTGCTGGATAGTTGTAGGATTTTAGTCATTTTTCATCTTGACCTATTCTGTTTCCAGAAGCGGGGGTTGAGTGACACTGACTGACTGACTGACTGACTGACTGACTGACTGACTGACTGACTGACTGACTGACTGACTGACTGACTGACTGACTGACTGACTGACTGACTGACTGACTGACTGACTCCTCACCTTGACATCACAGCTCTCTGGAAGCAAAAACAAGGCTCTTAAAGTGACAAACCCCCAATCACGCTACAATAAAAATAAATTGCTGGGCTGGCAGAGAGAAGGGGGTAGAGTAGAGTCCCTTCGGTAAATGTGGGGCTGTAGGACGTTTAGTGGACGGCGCGGTGGTTTACACAGACCATCTGTTTGTCGCTGCTGGCATGCTGCAGCTTGCAACAATTAACCACATGTGGCTTCTAGTAATGTCTGTTCCATTGAGTGGTCTAGCTGGCCTCTCTATAGTGAGATTAGACTTTCTCTGACTCAGGCTCATAACAAAGAACTTCACTGCTGGGAAATGTATCCCTATCTGCCCCATGAGTAAGGAGGGAATCATGTACGGATTTGGGCACTACGTTTAACCTGTGTACAGAGATCTATGGACCGTCATGTTATATGTGTGTATTATATTAGATAGTGATGGTTCACATTAGACATAATCTGTATAACCATGGTATATGTGTGTATTACAGCGATGGTTCCGATGATTACCCAGGCACCCCTGGGCATTACCAACGTATGCCGTTTGGATCAGCAGCATATGGATATGCCATGTGAGTACACAGACGCTAGGTATGCCTGTGACTATGACTGTGAGATGTATCTTTCAGAATGTCAACACAGAGCACGTGTCAGGGGTGAAGTGGGTTTACCATGTCTATCCTATTTTACAATACAGCCAGTCTGTCTAATGTAATGTCACACTGGACAGAACTAAACAATGATGGAAGCAGAGGGGCCCAGTGTAGTTTGTCCTTCACTGAAGTCCTAGGGATAACAGATCCTATCAACATCCCAAAATAGACCACTCTCTGAGTGCTGTTTATCAAACAGAGACAGGGCCAGAGCCAGGGGGTGGGGCTTGGGCTGGGATAGGGGTTGGGGCAGGGGCTAGCTCTGGGACAGGGGTTGGGTCTGGGGCTAGCTCTGGGACAGGGGTTGGGTCTGGGGCTAGCTCTGGGACAGGGGTTGGGTCTGGGGCTAGCTCTGGGACAGGGGTTGGGTCTGGGGCTAGCTCTGGGACAGGGGTTGGGTCTGGGGGCTAGCTCTGGGACAGGGGTTGGGTCTGGGGGCTAGCTCTGGGACAGGGGTTGGGTCTGGGGCTAGCTCTGGGTCAGGGGTTGGGTCTGGGGCTAGCTCTGGGACAGGGGTTGGGTCTGGGGCTAGCTCTGGGTCAGGGGTTGGGTCTGGGGGCTAGCTCTGGGACAGGGGTTGGGTCTGGGGCTAGCTCTGGGTCAGGGGTTGGGTCTGGGGCTAGCTCTGGGTCAGGGGTTGGGTCTGGGGGTAGTTCCGGGACAGGGGTTGGGTCTGGGGCTAGCTCTGGGACAGGGGTTGGGTCTGGGGCTAGCTCTGGGACAGGGGTTGGGGCAGGGACTTAGACAGGGCCAGTGGATGGGACAGAGCTGGGGGTTGGGGCTGAGAAAGGGGCTGGGGTGTTGGAGAGACTGACTTGACTTCAATGACTGATGAGGATTTCAGCAGGTTGCTAGCTCTGCCCCTGACTGGGGAAAACAACTCCCTCACTCATCACCTCTATTTGGAATGTTCCCAAACAACGTACAGGAAAGATAGTTTTACGATGAGCAACCCCGTCTCCCTCCCGCTGGAAAAGTTCAACTCCCTCTGTCTGGCTAATTTATGGGTCATGGCTCGTGAGGAGTCAGTCAGTGCTTAAAACGCATTCCATGAACCAACCCGCTTCTTTTTCTCCAATGGATTTAACAAACAGGCTCTCTGTTTAAAAACAGAAGGGCTCCAGAAACGTGCCATCGGGTTGGGAGCCAAGTGGTCCCTTGTAAAGGATTGTTTATACAGGTGATAAAAAGGAGAACAGGCAAAAGGCAAATGGGAGTGCAGCAGCCAGGGGGCAACGGGGTAACCAGCACAGATATTTTCCCAGCTGATGGTTCAGTTCACCTAATAAAGGCTTTTGGGAGGTTCATCCAAGAGCACCACAGAACTTCATTACCTCCTCAATGAGATATTCTTTACCTATATACTTTTCCCATTCACGTGGTGTGGCGGTATAGGGAGGTTGTAGGAAGGTTGTATGGAGGTTGTAGGAAGGTTGTAGGGCATTTGTATGGACGTTGTTATAGGGAGTTTGTAGGGCAGTTGTAGGAAGGTTGTTGGGCGGCTGTGGGGAGGTTGTAGGGCGGTTGTAGGACGGTTGTAGGAAGCTTGTAGGAAGCTTGTAGGAAGGCTGTAGGGAGGTTGTAGGAAGGTTGTAAGGAGGCTCTAGGGAGGTTGTACAGTACCTGGGACACGGACTCCCCCTTCTCCTTGCTGCGTTTGGTCAAGCTGTCCAGACCCTTGAGGGAGGAGAAGAGACCCCTCTTATTCCGAGCCCCTCTGGAAAAAGACTGGCAACGTCTCCGCAGGGTTGCCTCGTCACGGGTGCAGATCTGAGAACAGACATTAAAAGACATCACTTCTGTGGTTAGAGACTTTAAAGATCCCAAGTCTCTGTATTACAAATCTGACCAGAGAGCATGCTGATGTTTTCTGATCATAGTAAACATAGATGGCATTCAATAACATTCTTAATTGCACCTAAGGTGATAAATAAAGGTGTTTTCAATGGAACTGTTCCAGAGAATGTGCGAAATCCAATGTCCCAAGCTGAGGGTTGATATGGATGTGAAGCAGTAGATCAGGCCTCACCAGGGCATGAAAGGAGGAGACAGAGAAGATCCCCAGGCGTCCCAGAGCGGTCTTAGAGGGGCGTCCTGCCACGGCCAGGAGACTCTTGGGGTTGGGGAGCTCACTGCCCTGCAGGCTGGCCAGGTAACAGCGCATCCGGAACAGATCCATGTGGAACTTCTCCAGGTTCTGCTCCCACTGCTGAATCTGGGGAGAAACAGACAGGACACCGGGTTACACCACAGTACATAAAGGTTACGGTCACTTTCAAGGTGCCAGAATGGCCTCTCCACCCTCTCATTGACAAAGAGAGACCAGGCAGGGGAGCAACACAGACTCATAGTCACAGCCAGAGTCATTTCGAGTTTGGCCAAGTTTGACACAGTTCGCCATGTTAGCGGCTTTATTCACACACTTTTGGTGATGTGACAATACCAGAGCACCTCTATGTGAGGGTGACATGGTGACAGAATGGCCTCCACCCTCTCATTCAGAAGGGCGTCTCTAACTACAGAACGAGCCACATGGCTAATTGGAGCTACATAATCACCCTTATCGCTCTCTCGCTCTCATTCCCCCTCTCTTCTCTCAATCCTCCTTTCTTCTCTCTCTCCTTCACAGAGGGTGCATGTGTTATAACAGAGTCATTGTTTGTGAGATCAGGATTTAATCTAGAGAGGAGGCTTAAGAGGTTCACTTCAAATGGCAGAGAGAGCTAGTATCACTTTCAGAGAGACCGATCGTCAGACATCAAAGTGGCCGGTGGGCTTGGAGATGAGACCAGCTGCAGCAGTGGTCCCCCCCCCCCCCCCCCCACCTTGATTACCTCACAAACTGGGCATGATGACCCACCCCCACCCCCTGTCCTGCCATTAAGAAGAAAGGACCCCTAACTACCCCTAATGCTGCTCCGGGAACCACTGCTGTCTGTCAACACATCAGCATTTGGTTTGCTACGCTATAAAATGTCCCCCTCATCTGGGTTTCCCATTACAACAGACTTCTATGAGGAGTGGATAGAATATGTTGATCGTACTAGTCTATCAGACTGAGAACATCTGGAATAGAAATGTCATGGTGGCAGGGTACTTGGTTCTGAAAGCTCCAGTTTCAACAAATGATGCTGCCAACACATCTAAGCTCATGTCACTATGTTCCACAACCACAAGGAAGGTTGTTATAGCGTAATGATTTTTGCCATTACATGGAGGTTGTAACTCGCAGATTATGGACAGAAACAAGATGTCATGCAGGTGTTAAAATATGTATGGTTCTACAGGAGAGAATGGTCTGGTTTCCATTGGAGCTGAGACACTAATGACCTAATAGGCCAATTTAACTAACTGCTTGTTTGAATGGCTCAGCCTAAGGGTGGCCCTTGATCTTAAGACCACGGCCGGATTACCAAACTGGCACGAAGGGCACGTGCACGTGGCCCCCGACCTCCAGGGGGTCCCCAACCATTTATTTTGTCTTCTTTATTTTTTATTTTTGGGGGGAGTTGTGGGGCCCCTGGTGGTCAAGGACCCCCCAGATAAAAAAAAAAAAGAAGACAAAATCATATCATATGATAGCAAAATGTGTAGAATTGCAGGAGGAAATTAACTTTAAAACTGCAACATTTTCTCATAGACTCATGACAAAATGTGTTGAATGCATTATATATTTTGGGGGGGCTCCCTGGAGGACGGGGCCCCAAATGCGGTAGTCCGGCCCTGCTTAAGACTCACACGCACACAGTTTTGTATTGCTATCCTTGCTGGGACCAAAGAATTGATTCCCATCCAAAATCCTATTTTCCATAACCCCTAACCCTAAATCTAATCCTAACCTTAAACCTTAACTTAACCATAACCTTAACCCCAAACTGCTAACCCTAAAACTATACTTAACCCTAACTCCTAACCCTAAACCTAACCGTAACCCCTAACCCTAACCTTAATTCTAACCCTAACCTTAATTCTAACCCTAACCCTAATTCTAACCCTAACCCTAATTCTAACCCTAACCCCTAAGCCTAAAATAGCTTAAATGTCTCCACTTGTCCGAATTTTCCTTGTTTTACTATCCTTGTGAGGACTTCTGGTACCCACAAGGATAGTTAAACAAAAATACACACAGACACTAACCCATCTCAGTGCCTCACCTGGCTCTCGATGGCCTTCCTGTTCCTCTGGTCACTGATGACAGACAGCTGCAGCTCAGCCATCTTCTTCATCTTGCTGTCCATGTCTATCTTCTGCAGCAGGGCGCGGGTCTGGCTCCTCAGTAACCGCACCGTGTCTTCCTTCCCCTGTCTCTTCGCCAGCAGAGAGGCGCTGGCAGAGTGGATGGCCGTCACCCAGTTCTCCAGGTCTGTTTGATTGGCAGCCTGCGGGGAGGAACAGGGCTAGAGGACACAGTGCCATGGTAGGGCGGGGGAACATGGGGCCAGGTGACACAGTGCTATGGTAGGGTGGGGGAACATGGGGCCAGGTGACACCGTGCCATGGTAGGGCGGGGAACATGGGGCCAGGTGACACAGTGCTATGGTAGGGCGGGGGAACATGGGGCCAGGTGACACAGTGCCATGGTAGGGCGGGGGAACATGGGCCAGGTGACACAGTGCCATGGTAGGGCGGGGGAACATGGGGCCAGGTGACACAGTGCCATGGTAGGGCGGGGGAACATGGGGCCAGGTGACACAGTGCCATGGTAGGGCGGGGGGAACATGGGGGCCAGGTGACACAGTGCCATGGTAGGGCGGGGGAACATGGGGCCAGGTGACACAGTGCCATGGTAGGCGGGGCGGGGAGGTGAACCATGGGGGCACCAGGTGACACAGTGCCATGGTAGGGCGGGGGAACATGGGGCCAGGTGACACAGTGCCATGGTAGGGCGGGGGAACATGGGGCCAGGTGACACAGTGCCATGGTAGGGCGGGGGAACATGGGGCCAGGTGACACAGTGCTATGGTAGGGCGGGGGAACATGGGGCCAGGTGACACAGTGCTATGGTAGGGCGGGGGAACATGGGGCCAGGTGACACAGTGCTATGGTAGGGCGGGGGAACATGGGGCCAGGTGACACAGTGCCATGGTAGGGCGGGGGAACATGGGGCCAGGTGACACAGTGCTATGGTAGGGCGGGGGAACATGGGGCCAGGTGACACAGTGCTATGGTAGGGCGGGGGAACATGGGGCCAGGTGACACAGTGCTATGGTAGGGCGGGGGAACATGGGGCCAGGTGACACAGTGCTATGGTAGGGCGGGGGAACATGGGGCCAGGTGACACAGTGCTATGGTAGGGCGGGGGAACATGGGGCCAGGTGACACAGTGCTATGGTAGGGCGGGGGAACATGGGGCCAGGTGACACAGTGCCATGGTAGGGCGGGGGAACATGGGGCCAGGTGACACAGTGCTATGGTAGGGCGGGGGGAACATGGGGCCAGGTGACACAGTGCTATGGTAGGGCGGGGGAACATGGGGCCAGGTGACACAGTGCCATGGTAGGGCGGGGGAACATGGGGCCAGGTGACACAGTGCCATGGTAGGGCGGGGGAACATGGGGCCAGGTGACACAGTGCCAGGCCAGGGCAAGGGCAGGAGAACATGGCTCTCATTACCCGTCTTTCTTTCTCTCTACCCAGACGCCGGGATCTTTAAGTGCCAGACAAAAGCTCTTTGACACATTCATGACTATGCTACAAAGCTTCACTCCCCTCAGTTACCCCCTCGTTGCCATGGTGCGTTGGGTAGATACTGCCCTGAAGTGTGATTTGTGTGTCTAGTAAACACTTGGTGACTGAATCAAATGAACGTTACTCTCTGGGAATAAGAAGGTGTTTTCAACACTCGTAAAACTGAGTGCGGAGAACATTAAAGAGACAACACTTTCCCTCTCAAATGTGGAAAAAGAGGTCAACAACCCTATTGCCAAACAGACACACAGGATGCATGCCAAATGGCACCCTATTCCCTACACAGTGCACTACTTTTGACCAGGGCCCATAGGCCACTATATAGGGAATAGGATGCCATTTAGGACGCTCCTATACCCAACTAGTCTACTCAGACCAGCCAGTAGGGACGTTTTTCCCAACCCTACCATTTCACTCCCTTATAGAACAAATAACAATGGAGCTCTAAAGCTGTCAATACATCCAGACAGGACACAACCAACACCAATATAGTCATTACCAACCAGAACAGCAGCACATTCCATCCTAAAAAGCAGACGACAGCCCAGTCCATACTTGTGGTTGTCCCATAGCATATGGAGTTGTTAAAATATACAACCGTTCTAAAAAGAATGCAACAGACTGAAACAGACTGAGTTGAAACCACAACTCCATCACAAGGGGTCCATGAGGCAGGAGCAGGGCATATAGCAGAAAACCCCAAAATGTTCCCTCTTACATTCACACTGCGCTCTAAGAGAAAGAAACAAGCTCATGGTATTGCAATGTCCAATTTGTAACGACTGCATCAAAAATGACGATGTACTGCAGATCTCAAATAACAATGGTGAATGAGGGCCTCCATGACAGGTGCCTCTGTTGACGGCACAACAGTCTGTGTAGAACTAACCTCGTCCCCAGGCTATTGCACAGGCATATACTATACTTCCGAGCTTTAGAATCCTGGTGTGCGAGCCTAGGGTAGAACGTACCTGGAACAGATAGACGTCTCCATAGGCGTTGCTCAGGCAGAAGACGTTCTCCTTCTTGGGGTGTTCGGGGACGGCCTGGACAATGCTGTCCTCGGCCAGCAGGGCGTAGCGCGGAGACAGCTCCTGCTCGGGACAGCTGCTCTTCCCATAGGTCTCATAGAACAGGAGGGTACACCCTGTATGCACCAGGGAGGAGAGGAGGCTTTATCTAAGACACAGCTCTAGAACCATATTATGACACAATGACTCAATGTCAACAATAGCCTTGTAAGGGGAATACCTACCGAACATAGTGCATTCGGAAAGTATTCAGACCCCGTGACTTTTTCCACCTTTTTTTTTTGTTACAGCCTTGTTCTAAAATGGATGAAATAAATAAAAATCCTCATCAATCTACACACAATACCTCACAATGACAAAGCGAAAACAGGTTTTTATTTATTAAAAATAAACAACAGAAATACCTTATTTACATAAGTATTCCGACCCTTTGCTATGCATCCTGCTTCCAGTGATCATCCTTGAGATGTTTCTACAACTTGATTGCAGTCCACCTGTGGTAAATTAAATTGATTGGACATACCTTGGAAAGGCACATACCTGTCTATATAAGGTCCCACAGTTGACAGTGCATGTCAGAGCAAAAACCAAGCCATGGGGTCGAAGGAATTGTCCGTAGAGCTCAGAGACACGATTGCGTCGAGGCACAGATCTGGGGAAGGGTACCAAAAAATGTCTGCAGCATTGAAGGTCCCCAAGAACACAGTGACCTCCATCATTCTTAAATGGAAGAAGTTTGGAACCACGAAGACTTTTCCTAGAGCTAGCCGCCCGGCCAAACTGAGCAATCGGGGGAGAAGGGCCTTGGTCAGGAAGGTGACCAAGAACCCAATGGTCCCTCTGACAGAGCCCCAGAGTTCCTCTGTGGAGATGGGAGAACCTTCCAGAAGGACAACGCTCTCTGCAGCACTCCACCAATTAGGCCTTTATGGTAGAGTGGCCAGGCGGATGTCACTCCTCAGTAAAAGGCACATGACAGCCCGTTTGGAGCTTGCCAAAAGGCACCTAAAGGACTCTCAGACCATGAGAAACAAGATTCTCTGGTCTGCTGAAACCAAGATTGAACTCTTTGGCCTGAATGCCAAGCGTGACGTCTGGAGGAAACCTGGCACCATCCCTACAGTGAAGCATGGTGGTGGCAGCATCATGCTGTGGGGATGTTTTTCAGCGGCAGGGACTGGGAGACTAGTCAGGATCGAGGGAAAGATGAACGGAGCAAAGTACAGAGAGATCCTTGATGAAAACCTGCTCCAGAGCGCTCAGGACCTCAGACTGGGATGAAGGTTCACCTTCCAACAGGACAACGACCCTAAGCACACAGCCAAGACAACACAGGAGTGGCTTTGGGACAAGTCTCTGAATGTCCTTGAGTGGCTCAGCCAGAGCCCGGACTTGAACCCGATCGAACATCTCTGGAGAGACCTGAAAATAGCTGTGCAGCGACGTTCCCCATCCAACCTGACAGAGCTTGAGAGGATATGCAGAGAAGAAATGGGAGAAACTCCCCAAATACAGGTGTGCCAAGCTTGTAGCGTTATACCCAAGAAGACTCGAGGCTGTAATCGCTGCCAAAGGTGCTTCAACAAAGTACTGAGTAAAGGGTCTGAATACTTATGTAAATTAAATATTTCAGTTTATTATTATTTTTCTTTGAAATGTGCAAACATTTCTAAAAACCTGTTTTTGCTTTGTCATTATGGGGTATTGTGTGTAGATTGATGATGATTTTTTTTTTTTTAATCCATTTTAGAATAAGGCTGTAACATAACAAAATGTGGTAAAAGTCAAGGGGTCTGAATACTTTCCGAATGCAATGTATATCAAACAAAATGCATGTAGTAGCAAATGCTATTCTGTTAACCTTTATTTAACTAGGTTGTCCCATTATGGTCAGAAGACTTCTTTCCCAAGGTGGACCTAAACTGCATCCCAAATGGCACCCTAAAAATGGCACCCTATTCCCTTTATAGTGCACTCGGGTTCTGGTCAAAAGAAGTGCACTATATAGGGAATAGGGTGCCATTTGGGATGCACACCTATTGTCTGTATGTAGCACAGGTTATTTCCAGCGAGTGCAGGTGGAAGGAGGAGGGAGCCCTACCTTTGAGTGTGACCCAGTATTGCCTCCACTTCCTACGGGCCACCAGCTCCAGCTTCCTGTCCTTGTGCAGGGTGAGGATGGGCTTGAAGGAGAGCCAGCCGGCCCTGCGCACCACCCCCTGCTCCTTCTCAAACAGCAGGTCCAGCTGCTCCAGGGAACCCAGGGAGCCACTGCCACTGCTCCCCCCCTGCTCTCCCTCTCCTATTCCCACCCCTCCCCCCATCTCCTCCTCCTCTCCCTCCTCCGAGGGCTCAGTCCGCTCCGGCCCACTGTAGCGTCCTGTCTCCAGCTCCTGCATGAAGTTCTCGTAGATGTTCTGGCGCAGAGCGTCACTGTGGCACTGTTGGCCCTTGGTGTGGGTGTAGGTCTGGGTGTGGAGGGGATTCCATAGTGGACCAGTTAACTGGGAGCTAGAGTTACCTAACCCAGGGTCCACTCCACTGCTAAAGCCCTCACTGGTCTCGCTACCATAAGGCTCCTAGGGAGAGAGAGACAGAGCAGGATGGTTGGAGAGGAAAAAAAGTATGAATATATAGCTAGACCTTAAAAAGACCATTAAAGTTGAACGATCATCTAACAATATCGCAATATCAGGGACACAGAAGAGCAACATTCTCATGTATTTCTCGATTTACCATTTCCTGGACAGGATGTAATGATTTTCTATTTGTATTAGAACATAATATGAGATGTATTGTGAGATACTCTAATATGATACTCTAACATTATATAATACAATAATACCCTGGAATGTTGCTGGTACGGGTAACAGAAGACATGGATATTATACAGACCAATCTAGAGCAAACATTTTTGCGACTTGGCCTTGGCTTGTGCTAGCCGGAACCGCTCATAGGAGCAGGAGCCTACCCAGCTAGCACATTTGGTTCATTGGAAGTTGTGGGAACGTACGTTTTTGGTTTCCCATTGGTTCTGGGAACGAAACAATAAGTTTCCTGACCGGTAAAACTGAACATTCTGTGATATGGACATTATAATTTATTTTTTGAGAACATGTTTCAATAAGACACTTCTAGCTTAGGTTAACTGTTTTGAACTCTAAACACAGATAGAGCACATGGAAATTAATTTGCTTAGGTATTCCCACGGGGGGCCAGTATGAAAAAAAAATAATGTATGCACTCACTAACTGTAAGTCGCTCTGGATAAGAGCGTCTGCTAAATGACTAAAATGTAAATGTAAAAATGTATTAATCATGCAAACACATTTATTTTTTATTGTGGCACAGCGTCAGTGAGATTCAAACCATGATCTTCTGTGTTCTGTCCATGGAATTAGTCGATGCCAGCTGTCCCAGCAAAGGGTTACCTGTCATCCACATCTGGTTCCGTGGAGCATTTCCCGGAGACGAGACCTACCCCAATTTATTTAATAAAAATTCCATATTGCATTCTGTCTTTGTTGTCCATTCAGTTAAGCCTGTATTCGATTGAACTGAAATTCCCACAGAATAACGTTTTTTCTTAACGTTCTCTGAACTATTTTAGAAAATTCCCAATGTCAAACCAGTTGGAGAACGTTACCAAAATTGAAATTAAATGTAACCATGTTTGAACTTTTAGGAAACGTTCTGTTAAAGTAAGGAAATACCAATGTAATATTCTCCAGCGACAAAAGGAGCGGGGAAGGTTTCCTTTCTGAACCGACAACATCGATCTTTGAAATCTTTCCCATGTAAATATTATCTAATTCTACACAAAGCCTTAGGGAGACTGGCCTATAGTCTTACATAATATCTGTCAAAATTATCTAAGGTTCTGAAAATGTTCCAGCGGGTAACTATTGTTAGAATAAGTTCTTTTGTGGTGTTTTTTCCTTTCATAGTAGTGTTTATCTCAATGGTTTGATTTTGTTTAAAGAACAAGCTACACATGTATCTCCAAAGATCCAGTCTGTCAGATGTAAACTGAGGGTATTAAAGAGCCATAGGATGACGTGTGACAGAGAGACATTCATGTGGCACTGCAATGATCTGCATCGTCAGACTGGATTTAAGAGCCAACCGCCATCAGCCAATCACGTTGACCAAAACAATGAGATTACCATCACACAGACTCAGCGAGCAGTCTTATCTCATCTCCTAGACAACTGGGGACACGTCATCTGATAAAGAGTCTACACTACATGCCCAGTCTTCCCCCCTTCACTGTGTACCCTTCCCTCCTCCCATCCCCTCTTTCTTCCCCTCTTCCCTCACCTGTAGTCTTCTTTTCTTCCTGCTCAGACTTCCCGTCCAGTCGCTGAGGCGCCTGATGCGGCTCTTCAGGTGGTCCTTCCTGCTGTTACCGACCACGATGGCGGAGGGCTCGGTGGCCGCCGTGGCGGCGACCCTCCTGCATGGCAGCGTGTGACTGTGAGAGGAGGAGTAGCGCTGGTCGTACAACCCCGAACTCTCCTCCTGGATGACCGCGTCCAGGGTCAGTACCGAAGCCAGCGACCCCCGTTGCTGGGGAACGTCCTGGAACTGAGTAGTGGGGAACACAGCCGCCACGCTGGGGTTAGAGTAGAGGTCAGACAGGGACACGGGAGGGGACATGAGGCTAAACTGACTCTGCTCCGGGTGAAGGATCATGGAGTCCCCGATACCACTGTCCTCAGTGCGGCCCGAAGAGCAAGTGTTATACCCGTTGCTGTTAAACCCTCGGCTTGTATATTGACCGTTACTATCCACAGTCTGGAAGAGGAGGCTGGGATTGAACCCCGGGGAGATGTCCTCAGTGCGGGCGGACGAGAAGGTGTTGTAGCCGCAGCCAGTCTCCTCGGTGCGCGTGGAGGAGTAGGTGGTGTAGCCGCTGCTGTTGTCCCCCGCTACGGTCTGACTACAGGTGAATACATTGTCGTTGAGCTCCGTGGCGTTCCCCCAGGGAGAGTCGTACCAGGAGCCCTCGGAGCTCAGGGAGCTGCCCTTGCTGGTCCTAGTCAGAGAGGCCTCTGGGGCGGCTTCCACAGGGTGGCTGTGGCCTGACAGACCCTGGGGCTCCAGTGACATCCGCCTGCCGTTGGTGAACTCAACACGCATGCTGCCGTCCTTACTGAGGAGCACCTTGGGGCTGCTGCGGCTCTCTAGGGGCCCCCCGTGCTCACACGGAGAAGTCCTTTCGGGGGTGTGCTGTCCGTTAGCCCCGAGACTGTTAACACTCTCCCCACTACTCTCCAGGTAACTGTAACCGGTATGACAGACATTTTTCCTGGTCACTTGGGAACCGTCCCCTCTGCCACACCTCTGTGAAGAGTTATGCTTCAGCTTGGCTCCCGGGGACCCCCCCAGTTCCCTGCCCTCCTTAGTGATGTGGTGCTCATAGTGTTGCGAAGAGCCATAAGGCTGGTTGTGAGTGATCTTGTGCTGGGGCAGGCAGCCCCTCCCTCCCTTGCCTCTGGTTCTGTATCCCTGACTGCTCCCCTCGCTGCCCCTCCACCAGCTATGGGGGGACAGGGCCTCCTCTTTAGTGGAGTGGAACTTTAGAGAGCAGGGTTTGGGTTTCCCAGGGACGTTAAAGCTGCTGTACTGGCTGTCAGTGTTTCCCATTCTGATCTGCTGGGCAGAAGACAAAACATCAGAATGAGAGATAATCAAGAGAGGATGCATTTCATTGTAATGGAAAAAGAATAGGTTGTTAACTGACTTCCCAGGTAAAAAAAAAAAATATGAAAGGAAATGAACTCACATGAGGTTAAACAAAATAAAATGACATCACAAAAAATAAAATGAAATAAAATCACAAAGACAATGTTAAATAAAACAAAATGAAATCACATAAGGTAAATGAAATGAAAGCACATAGAAAAATGACTTTATACACACCAGCTGTAAAATCTTACCAGTTGCGGTGTCTGTCCTCAGGACAAACTTAGATACTACTCTGCATACTCCTATGGGCTACGTCTCAGCAGCGCTAGCTGGGCTCTGTGCCGTTGTGTGATCTCTTCAGGACTGAGCACCTCTCTCTCTCACACACTCACACTCACACAGCTGCTCACTCTCTCTCCTACTCTCACTCTCTCCCACTCGCTCGCTCTCTCTCTCTCTCTCTCTCCGGCTCATCTGTAGGGAAACAGAGGAGGGAGGGGCTTCGGTCAGTTCCACACACAGTCTGCCTTGTGTGTGAGCCTACTGTGGTTAGAGCCCCACCCCAAATCTAAACACCCCTTCTTCCTTGGCTTGGCCATCCCCCCACTCCACTCAGCCTCCTTCCATGACGTACTACTACTGAGCTGCTGAAGGGGCTTTTTAAAAGCAGACTTCATTCTGTCGCATGTTTATTTTGGTTCTCAGGAATTCGGAGCAATTTTCTCTTCTTTAAAAAAAAAAGACGGTTGAGTTGAAGTCATCAGACAAGGCTATTTGGAGCGTCACCGCAAGCAATGTCTCTTAGCGCTTCATAAAGTCAGATTTAAACTTTCAAAAAATAACACAAGTTAGAAATCTCACATCAGATCAAGTTCAAGCCAAGAAGTATGACAGAGAACATATCCTCAAGGTAAAACCGTTACGGACATTTTGAAATACAATATGACATTGCAAAGAAATTACATCAACCCCAGTCTTTCCTGAAACAGATAAAGCCTCAGAGACTTTTTACATCTTGCCCAGAGTTCTCATTTCCTGAGAGACAGAGAGGGGTCAGAGGTTAGAGTGGCCCAAGGTTCACTGTTCCAGCAGTAAACTATAGCAGCACTACGCCTATCCTGTCCTGGGTTCATTCATACTGAAGAGGAGGAGAGGAGTGGAAAGGAAGAACGGAAGGAGAGGAGGTGAGGAGGAGTAGAGGAGAGGAGGACAGAGCCCTGGCTACACAAAGCAGGGTGAGAATACATCACACTGCTGACCCTAAACACATCAACGACCCTTGACCCCTTCATTTAAACCCAACAGGAAGCACCGATGGGGAAACCTTGGAAGCTGAAACACCCAGTCAGACGGCAGAGGAAAGAGCAACTTGTTGTCTCCGTCATTAAGCTAGAATGTTGAGGAGGACAGAAGAATGGCCAGCAGTGTGACAGGTTGTATTCGACACTCGCTGTGTGCGTAAAAAGAAGACGAACGCTTTCAGCCAGCCAATGGTCTGCCACTCAGCCGGGGCTCCAGACTATGGGCCTGTGCAGTGGGCTGGGCGGAACCGTGGAACGGGGTGCTTTGTGACACGGTTGTCGGCTTGCGCGGCAGACAAGGAGGCCGTGAATGGCTAAAGGTAGAGGCGGTGGTCGACACTTTTGTTGTGCCTCTCCTATAGGCCATCTGCTCCCTCGCTGGGGAAGCCCTGTCACCCTCGACCCTGGCATTCTTCAAGCACAATGAGCCCCCCGTGCAGAACTCCAGGCCAGCCATACTGCAGTGGAATGCATCAGGGCTGAAAATAGGGACGTGCTCTTGTTTGAAGTTTTTTTTTTGGGGGGGGGGGGGGGGGGGGGGGGGGGGGTGCGTGTGTGTTCATGTGGAGGAATGCCACCTGCACTATTTATTCCATGATATCAGAGCAGTTCAAAACCAACAGTTCAAACCTTTCATTTCTATTTCAGTGAAGAACATAATTGTCTTTTGTTCACCAAATACAGTACTACGAAACAAGTTCAATCTGAATCCCACTTACTATCTTGCTCTCTCTCTTGTCCCAGCAGCCTCTATGCCTCTTTCCTCCTCCTGATCCCTTTCCTGTTGCTGTGCTTACATGGGCCTGCTAAACACTAACTACGTCCCAAATGGCACCCTATTCCCTATATAGTGCACTCCTTTTGACCAGGGCTCTATATCCCTGGTCAGAAGTAGTGCACTATATGGGCATGGGCCCTGGTCAAAAGTAGTGCACTATATAGGGAATAGGGTGCCATTTGGGAAGCACCCATTGTATCAGCCAGGCCCCACATACTTCACACAACCTTCCATAAGGGGATAAAGCACAGAGAGAGAGCATCCTGACAGTGTTCCAAAACAGACCGTTAAAACAAGGTACAGGCCCTTCTCTTCATCCACTTTATGTTTGTCACATGAATGTCGTTAGAGCACATCTGCTGCGGCCAAGAACTCCCGACTAAAAATCTACTGCTATGATCTAATATTGTAATAACACAAAAGCCCAACTGCCCAAGTTTACGACTACAGTACATATGAGTCATCGTACAATGGAATTGTTCATTGTAAACGGTCACTTTCACAGCAAAATTCAACATGATTAAATAAATGAAACTTATAACGTTTTTTCAAACAGATCAAAACTGTAGGAGGCATGAATGTAGATGTTTTTTTAAAGAAAAAATATGTTTGCTAGATTCAAATCCCCACACTGTGTCAGCAGCAGCATGTGTAGCCTACTATGGATGGAGCCAAAACCCAGTGCATCATTTCTCCTTCAGCAACCGGATAGAGGAAGCAGGAAGAACAGATAGATCATAAAGAGAAGGAAACAGAGACACCTACCTCCCTCAGGACTGATGCTATGGTGTCTCTCTCTCGCTCTCTATCTCATACAAACTATCATGCCACAGCATAGGAGACTGGACACACACAAACACTCAGGAAGGAATGTAGAGTACATCACGCACATGCAGGCAATAGTGCAGTTCCGCACATACACTTGGAGGAGGATCAGGGAGTCAGTGGAAGAAAAACAGAGAGAGAAGAAGGGGGCCATTGTTGTTATTTGGCTATGATGGTTTAGATGAGGGGTGTCAAACTCATTTTGCCCCGGGGGCCGCATTCATTCTTCAATGATGTCTCGAGGGCCGCATTAAAAATTGGTTGTATTTCCTCGCCGTCAAAATTAATAGTCCTCTATCCATCGTTTTGGGAATTTTCGATGCTCCCTGACTGTCTAGCCTTCATTTAAGTGATTATTAGCGAGCTGGACAATATATTTTAGTCATTTTAAAGTATATTGAGGTTGTCCCCCCCCATCCCCCAACTCTTTCAAGGGTTTTCTTTATTTTTTACTATTTTCTACATTGTAGAATAATAGTAAAGACATCAAAACTATGAAATAACACATATGGAATCATGTAGTAACCAAAAAAGTGTTAAACAAATCAAAATATATTTTATATTTGAGATTCTTCAAATAGCCACCCTTTGCCCTGATGACAGCGTTGCACACTCTTGGCATTCTCTCAACCAACTTCACCTGGAATGCTTTTCCAACAGTCTTGAAGGAGTTCCCACATATGCTGAGCACTTGTTGGCTGCTTTTCCTTCACTCTGCGGTCCGACTCATTCCAAACCATCTCAATTGGGTTGAGGTCGGGGGATTGTGGAGGCCAGGTCATCTGATGCAGCACTCCATCACTCTGCTTCTTGGTAAAATAGCCCTTACACAGCCTGGAGGTGTATTGGGTAATTGTACTGTTGAGAAACAAATGATAATCCCACTAAGCCCAAACCAGATGGGATGGCGTATCGCTGCAGAATGCTGTGGTAGTCATGCTGGTTAAGTGTGAATTCTAAATAAATCACAGACAGTGTCACCAGCAAAGCACCCCCACACCATAACACCTCCTCCTCCATGCTTTACGGTGGGAACTACACATGTGGAGATCATCCGTTCACCCACACCGCGTCTCACAAAGACATGGCGGTTGGAACCAAAAATCTCCAATTTGGACTCCAGACCAAAGGACACATTTCCACCGGTCTAATGTCCATTGTTTGTGTTTCTTGGCCCAAGCAGGTTTCTTCTTGTTATTGGTGTCCTTTAGTAGTGGTTTCTTTGCAGCAATTCGACCATGAAGGCCTGATTCACACAGTCCCCTCTGAACAGATGATGTTGAGATGTGTCTGTTACTTGAACTCTGTGAAGCATTTATTTGGGCTGCAATTTCTGAGGCTGATAACTTTAATAAACGTATCCTTTTTTTGGGGGGGGGGGGGGGGGGGGGGGTAGATCAGCTTTAATATTGCAGATAGATTGTAACTTCCATCAATGTAATTGTCTGCATAATTTCCAATCCCTCATATGTTTTTCTTTCTCGCAAATATATATTTATATATTTATATATATATATATATATATATATATATATACACACACACACACACACACATACATTTCCTTTTTTAAAATATATTTCCCTTTATTACTTTCCAACCCCACCACCCCTTCCCTAATTGGAGTAAACTAGTGAACAACAATGCTTAGGCCTCTACTTCCAGCTTATACATACTATATACATTTTATGGACACAGTCAATTTTACAATAATTCTATTTTGTTTATTTTTACTCCTGAACTTCCTCTACCCTCAACCTCTCCGATCATTTTCATGATGTCCATCCGGTTTGCTTCTATATGCCATATCTTTCTAACTGTGCTCTTTCACAAAAGCTCTCAACCTATAACCTATATACTTATTATGGACACAGTATGCTTACATTATTAGTTATCTTGTTGTTATTAGTTGTTGTTAGTTGTTATTAGTCCCATCCTTCAACTCCATTCAACACCACCCATCTATCTCTTAACACCATCCATATTGGATTTCTATTTGCCATATATTTTTCAACTGTACTGTTGAAACAAGCTACAAATGGACAGTACCAAAACAAATGATCTGTGGTCCTCTGTAGCTCAGCTGGTAGAGCACGGCGCTTGTAACGCCAAGG